TTCTACCCCCACATTTGTCATCATGCATCTAACCAAACATTTATCTGTAACTGATTCAAAAATTTCGATTTAGCAGTATTCCATTGATTTTCAATATTGATATGAAATTTAAGGGCTCTGACATATATGAATACAGTGACTGTGTGTTTCAGACAGAATCAGCCATGGGCGCCCACACCTTGTTACAGTGTGAAGTCATGCAGAGACTGGCTGGATGTGTCTTCTTTGACCTTTGACCTGACTTTGACAGATGGATGTGTCAGCTTAAAGGTCTGCATGAAGAATCTTTACAGAAATCAAACATGTCCCAGTGTTTGTTTAGAGGTTAGCAGATAGGCTGTTTGCATATACCCTATGATTAAATTAGTAAATGTACTCAATATATGTATATGTCTTGATTGTTGACAACTCTTTAAATTAAATTAATCAAAACTTTCCACTGTAATTATGTATATGTAGTAGTAGTACATGTATAGAGTTTAACAGTTTACAATGTATAATGAATTAAGAAAATCGTTTTTTCATCAGTAACCATTGCATGAGCATACATGTAGTCTACATGTTGATTGTTTAATGCACCTTGTTGATGATTTTAGTTGTGTAGAAAGTCTACAGAGAATTTATCACTGTTTTGACCACAGTGTTGTTTGTTTTGAACATATTTTATTGTATAAACAAAAGGATTGGAAACAAGTTCCAACTTACGAGTTCCTCTCCTTATCAGTGCTATTTCCGTATAAGTAGATTTTTTAGCAGGATTTAATTTTGGCATTATTAGCGAGCATGAGATCCTATAACTGAATACTGCTAAAAATTAATTGTATTTGTAATTGCTGCTTTATGTAGCCGCTTTACCTCTGGCTTTAAATAAATTACCATTTTTTACTCGCTCACTCCACTTATACAGTATTAGGCAATTGACATGTTCTTGAAGGCATATATATAATTTCATGGGTAACTCAAAGATAGATTAAAATCGAGTAACTGATACATACGAGGGTTGTCCCGTAAAATCGTGGACAAAGCGTTTTTCTCGACGCTTAGCAAAATTTCAGTAAATGTATATTTATCATATTTAAGTGCATGATAATTTTTTTGATAAAATATAGGCAAAAATAAAGATTTTATTATGCTTGAATGTGCAATCAGGTTTTATTAAAGAATACACAAGTTTGAATTCAAAATTAAAGTTTTAAATCTTTGGATTAAAATTATCTCAATTCCACAATCAATTTTGCAGTTTTGTAAAAATTTTAAGATTTGCTTAATGGCAGTTTCTCGAGCATGCACAACACACGAAAAATGGCCCTTGGGAGAACAGTTCAGTTTTATTTCGATGTTGTAATGACACCAGAGACTTGAAATGCCATATTTCTCCAAGAATTATAAAAATAACACCATATCTTAAGTATACAAATGAAATAGTTTTCTTAGCGAAGTTTTTTTTTTGACATCAAGTAGAATTTATCACTGTTTTGACTTGTGGGCAAAAGTGTTGTTTGTTTTGAACATATTTTATTGTATAAACAAAAGGATTGGAAACAAGTTCTTTCAACTTACGAGTTCCTCTCCAGATCATGCTATTTCCAAAGTGGATTTTTTAGCGAGGATTTAATTTTGGCATTATTAGAATGTGTGTCATGAAATTCCGATAATTGAATACTGCTAAAAATTAATTGTATTTGTAATTGCTGCTTTATTTAGCATTTTAAAATCGCTAAAATTACCTCTGGCTTTAAATAAATTACCATTTTTTAAGGAGAAATCGCTAAATTTGAGGATCACTAAAATTTCCACTTATACAGTATTAGGCAATTGACATGTTCTTGAAGGCATATATATAATTTCATGGGTAACTCAAAGATAGATTAAAATCGAGTAACTGATACATACATTTAAAAAAATATATTGTCATGGGAATGTACTTTTATGGGTAAGGGTGACCAACGAAATCTACAAACAACAGACCCCACATACATTTTACAGAATTGTTCACCATCCCTTGCCGTTATATAGGTGATGCAGTTTATCTTATCTTACGCAGAGGTTTGTGCCTTTATGGAAGTAGATTTTTTCATTGTGACATTTTTATTGGTAGTATTGTTTTTCAAAAGTTTAGTTATAAAATGTTCAAAGTATATATGTATCTTCATTTCTAATGTTGTACAAATCAGGCATTCCAGATGCGGAATTCCATGACCTTGACCCAGCTGGAATAGTGTTGAAAGGTCAAAAGGTCAGGATTGAGAGACAGATGTTGGCTTTGATGCCAAAGTACTGTATATCTGAGAGAGTCAACAAACAGCTCAAGTTACTGGAGTCTGACGAGTCGACTCGGGGGAAGGACTTGAGTTCGGAACTCGGAGTGGTATTTTTAGAAGTGTCCTCCAATGTGACTTCCTACTGTCGAGCTGTCATCTCAACCTCAGGTAAAACAACAAATTTAAGGACCTATCTTGTCAGATTGATCAATTAAGTGTTGATAAACCTGTCAGAACTGGCAAAAATATTTGAAGTTGTAAATCTTTCAATTTAAATTTCTGTGTGTAAGGGGCCAAAAATTATGTTGTAACCTTTATAAAGTGTCAAAGCAGATGATACCTTTATAAACATTGTTGAGTACTGGGCATTAATAATGATATCGCAAACTTTTTAAACTTTTTAGCTTTAAACATACACACAAAAAAGCCTCAATATAAAAACATTTTTAAAAAAAATATTTAGACATCTGTTATCGCACAAAAAAATTTAACGTCCAGGGGCTCTTCCCCCTAAGGCACTAAAATTAGTAGTGCGCCAAATATTCCTTATTCTTTCTCAGAAGCATTTAATTACCATATTGTAAATGTTAAGTAATATCAGCATCAGAAAAACATATTGTAACTTTTTGTAATGTCAGATTTTTTTTTCATTTTATAGGACCAACATCTCAGTTTTCCTGCGTTCTGTTCAGACCGAGTCTGGATGAAGCCCTTTCTAGAGATCTAGGAAGTACTGACGGTAAGTTATTTATAGCACTAGAGGTCAGAGGTCAATACCTGTTATATTGAATAATTTTCTTTTCTCTGATTGGCTGAAAACCAACAATGTAAGAAAAATAATACGTAATATTGACTTGGACCGGACGTCACCTTTAAGGTCAATATAAGAAATTATTGCAGGTCAGTATGATAAATCATGTGACCCTCAAGGTCAATTTCAGGAATTATTGCAGGTCAATGTAATGAATTATTGACATGTTCCATTTTTAGCTCACCTGAGCCGAAGGCTCAAGTGAGCTTTTCTGATCAAAATTTGTCCGTCGTCTGTCGTTGTCGTTATCGTCGTTGTTGTCGTTGTTGTCGTAAACTTTTCACATTTTCATCTTCTTCTCAAGAACCACTGGGCCGATTTCAACCAAACTTGGCACAAGTATCCTTTGGTGAGGGGGATTCAAGTTTGTTCAAATAAAGGGCCACGCCCTATTCCAAGGGGAGATAATCATAAATTTGTTAAAAATTAATTGCATTTTTAAAAAATCTTCTACTCCAGAACCACTGGGCCAGGAAAGATGAAACTCATGTGGAATCATCCTCAGGTAGTGTAGATTCAAGTTTGTTCAAATCATGGCCCCCGGGGCAAGGGTGGGGCCAAAATGGCCGACCCAAGTTTTACATAGGAATATATAGGAAAAATCTTTATAAATCTTCTTCTCCAGACCCACTGGGCCAGGAAAGATGAAACTCATGTGGAATCATCCTCAGGTAGTGTAAATTCAAGTTTGTTCAAATCATGACCCCCGGGGCATGGGTGGGGCCAAAATGGCCGACCCAAGTTTTACATAGGAATATATAGGAAAAATCTTTAAAAATCTTGTTCTCCAGACCCACTGGGCCAGGAAAAATGACACTCATGTGGAATCATCCTCAGGTAGTGTAGATTCAAGTTTGTTCAAATCATGACCCCTGGGGTAAGGGTGGGGCCAAAATGGCCGATTTTACATATGAATATAAAGGAAAAATCTTTAAAAATCTTGTTCTCCAGAACCACTGGGCCAGGAAAGATGAAACTCATGTGGAATCATCCTTAGGTAGTGTAGATTCAAATTTGTTCAAATCATGACCCCCGGGGCAAGGGTGGGGCCAAAATGGCCGACCCAAGTTTTACATAGGAATATATAGGAAAAATCTTAAAAATCTTGTTCTCCAGAACCACTGGGCCAGGAAAGATGAAACTCATGTGGAATCATCCTCAGGTAGTGTAGATTCAAGTTTGTTCAAATCATGACCCCTGAGCAAGAGAGGGGCCAAAATGGCCGACCAAGTTTTACATAGGAATATATAGGAAATATCTTTGAAAATCCTTCTGAATATCCACTGGGCCAGGAAAGATGAAACTCATGTGGAATCATCCTCAGGTAGTGTAAATTCAAGTTTGTTCAAATCATGACCCCGGGGGCATGGGTGGGGCCAAAATGGCCGACCCAAAATTTACATAGGGATATATATAGAAACCTTTTAAATTTATCTTCTTTTCAAGTACTTCAAAGCTATGATTAGTGATATTTATATGGAATCATCCTCAGGTAGTGTAGATTCTAGTTTGTTCAAATGATGAACGCCTGGAAGGGGGGGTTAAATTCAAGCCCAATGTGCTCAGGTGAGTGCTGTGGCCCCTGGGCCTCTTGTTTTCTGTTACAATGTGTTCTTGTTGAAATTTCTTGTTAAAACTTTCAATTAAAGCAAAGAAATAGTCAGTCTTTTAGGATCGAGTTTGCTATCATTTGATTGTGTGATAAGATAGATATTGCTATTTTTTGCAGTTAATACGATGATTTAGACACCTAAGGAGTACAATATTCACTGAGCTCAAAAATTGTACTTTGAAGAGCTAAATCATCGAATTGACCTAAAAAACAGCAATAATTGTATATTATTATATAAAAGGGTGGAGGCGTTTATTTTTAAACAGTTTTCTCGTTTTAAATGTACTTGTTACATATCTGGTTACAGACACCGCATTCCTGAGTAGCAGTACAGTACTTTTAGTCATTTAGAATATATGTCTTTAAATTTATGTATTTTTATATTATAATGTTTTTAATTTGTTTATTTAGTTTTCTGGAGTAGAAGAGAAGCTCACATCTCATCAGTGACAGAAACTCTCTAAAACTCGCCTCACCAAAATCGTACAACAAGGAGGAACAACTGCAGTACTTTGCTTGTATCCTTTATGAATGAAGCAAAATATTAGATTTGTGCAATGTAAACTTTTTTGTTTGAAGTTGAAGCTAGCTTTTTAAAAAAAAAAAGTTTTGGCAAGTTCTTTGCATTTTCAAACATGAGGATAGGTAGAGGCATTGAAAAGCAAGAACAAACATGATTTGAAGTAATCTCCCTTTACTATGCTGCAGACATCTTGAAGAAATGTCTGTTTATGTTGTGGTGTCACCTGGAGTATTATTTTATTCACTGCGTTCCTGTCAATCAGCAGACATCTACTTTCAGAGTAAAGCAACACACTCAATAGTCAGGCTTTTAGGTCAGTCAGGCTCTTTGTATCTCAGGTCTTTTTATGTGGTACAAACTAATTTTTATTTAATTGTATTTAGACACCTGAGGAGTACAATATTCACTGAGCCCAAATATTGTACTTTGAAGAGCTAAATCATCGTATTGACCTTAAAAAACAGCAATAATTGTATATTATTATATAAAAGGGTTTTGAAAGTTTAAGTTTAAATATGTTTTCCGTTTTAAAAAAATGTTGCATACATATTTTTTACAGACACCGCATTCCTGAGTAGCAGTACAGTACTTTTAGTCATTTAGAATATATGTCTTTTATGTATTTTTATATTATAATGTTTTTAATTTGTTTATTTAGTTTTCTGGAAAAGAGAAGCTCCATCTCATCAGTGACAGAAACTCTCTATAACTTGGCACACAAAATCGTACAACAAGGAGGAAAAGTGCAGTACTTTGCTTGTAATCCTTTATGAATGAAGCAAAATATTAGATTTGTGCAATGTAAACTTTTTTGTTTGAAGTTGAAGCTAGCTTTTTAAAAAAAAAAAATTTTGGCAAGTTCTTTGCATTTTCAAACATGACACAGGTAGAGGCATTGAAAAGCAAGAACAAACATGATTTGAAGTAATCTCCCTTTACTATGCTGCAGACATCTTGAAGAAATGTCTGTTTATGTTGTGGTGCCACCTGGAGTATTATTTTATTCACTTTTGGTTCCTGTCAATCAGCAAACAGCTACGCACACAAGTCAGACTCGCAGACACACACAACTCAGGAGGCTTCAAGGTCAGTCAGGCTCTTTGTATCTCAGGTCTTTTTATGTGGTACAAACTAATTTTTATTTAATTGTATAGTACGAGGGTTGTCCCAGAAAAACGCGAACTTTTTTAATATTTTGAATACTATTCAACCAAAATTAATAAAATTTGGTATGGTGTTGGGAAATCATCTTTAAGATATTCTGACAAAATATTATAGGCATGTGATGTCATATGCACATAACAACAGCATTTAAATGATGTTAAATATCGGTGGTCGGCGCACTACAATTTTTTGAATTTTACAAATAGCATTGTGATTGAAGTTTTCGTTGTTATCAGGCTATATGGCAATATAATATCAAAAATTTTATTATCATAAATACTCTATGATTTGGTGTACTTGTGTTTAAAATTTAATTTTTTTTACATCAATAATGACAAATATATGACGATATATAGCAAAGCGGTCTGAATTAGACTTTGTCAAAAATTGTGACGTTAAGTTGTGATGCGGCGCACAAAATTATCAAGCAACACTATGTTGAGCGGGATATGACTCCTGCAAATAGAATTAACGATGAAAGAACACAAACATAATATGGGGAACATGTTTATATATAGTAGTAAAGGTTCTAAATTGACTTGACTAATTTTCTGATAGAAGAGAATAGGCAAGTGCAGATAATGAAAGACTAACTGAAAAGACAAGAGTGGGGCGTCATAAATAATGTAAATAATGGCCTTTAATAATTCGATAAGGTAGCTTTAAAATTGGGATTATAAAACTGTCTATTGAAAGAATTAACACACACCCCACCCCCAAATCTTTTAGTAGCACTAGTATTTGAGATGCATAACTTGGTAACAAAAAAAAAAAACTCATTGTCGTATGTGTGCTAAAAATAAATTTTAATAGAGGCGCAATTTTCCTTAAAAAATTCCAAAACATTACGAGATACGTTTTGACGTCGTCATTGTTGCGCCCACAGCTAATTTGATAGGTTCCTTTACATAAGAGGAAAATTGTATTTATAGAGATATTTGTTTGAAATTTTTATGCATAATTCAAAAAATGTTGATCATGATGTACGCCAATTTTTAACTTTATAGGCCTAGTAAAACAAAAGATATAAAAAATGTTCGCGTTTTTCTGGGACAACCCTCGTATGCATGAATATTTTTACTTCCAATTTTATTTCATACCTTCTGAGAATAAGAATAGGGCGAATTTAAAAAAAAAAAACAGACATGACTGAATCTAGGTGAATTTAAAAATTGTTTTGAAAGTTTAAGTGGGCAAATATGAATTAAACCGAATGAAAAAAATGTTGCATACAATATTTTTTATTAGCTCTACTGGACAGAGACCAGAAGAGCTTATGCGATAGTAATGCGTCCGGCGTCCGTCCGTCTGTCTGTCTGTCTGTCTGTCCGTCTGTCTGTAAACAATTCTTCAAAATGCTACTCCTCCTACAGTTTTGGTCTGATTTCAATATAACTTGGCACACAAGTAGACTACACTAAGATACATAGAATAGTGCATCGGTTTTTAATTTTGATGAACGGTGTTGCCATGGTTACTTAAAATAGAATTTTCTTTGAAATGTCTTCTAAACGCTACTCCTTCTACAGTTTTGGTTTGATTTTGATATATCTTAGCACACAAGTAGACTACACTAAGATACATAGAATAGTGCATTGGTTTTTAATTTCAATGAACGGTGTTGCCATGGTTACTAAAAATAGAATTTTCTATGAAATTCCTCTAAAATGCTACTCCTTCTACAGTTTTGGTCTAATTTCAATACAACTTGGCCCACAAGTAGACTACACTAAGATACATAGAATAGTGCAGCGGTTTTTGATTTCGAAGAACGGTGTTGCCATGGTTACTAAAAATAGAATTTTCTTTGAAATTCCTTTAAAATGCTACTCCTTCTACAGTTTTGGTCTGATTTTAATATAACTTGGCACACAAGTAGACTACACTAAGATACATAGAATAGTACAATGGTTTTTAATTTCCATGAATGATGTTACCATGGTTACTAAAAATAGAATTATCTGTGAAATTCCTTTAAAACACTACTCCTTCCGCAGTTTTGGTCTGATTTCAGTTTAACTTGGCACACAAGTAGACTACACTAAGATACATAGAATAGTCCTCCGGTTTTTAATTTCAATGAACGGTGTTGCTATGGTTACTAAAAATAGAATTTTCTGTGAAATTCCTTTAAAATGCTACTCCTTCTACAGTTTTGGTCTGATTTTAATATAACTTGGCACACAAGTAGACTACACTAACATACATAGAATAGTGCATTGGTTTTTAATTTCCATGAACGATGTTACCATGGTTACTAAAAATAGAATTATCTGTGAAATTCCTTTAAAACACTACTCCTTCCACAGTTTTGGTCTGATTTCAATATAACTTATCACACAAGTAGACTACACTAAGATACATAGAATAGTGCATCGGTTTTTAATTTCGATGAACGGTGTTGCCATGGTTACTTAAAATAGAATTTTCTTTGAAATTCCTTCTAAACGCTACTCCTTCTTCAGTTTTGGTTTGATTTTGATATATCTTGGCACACAAGTAGACTACACTAAGATACATAGAACAGTGCATTGGTTTTTAATTTCAATGAACGGTGTTGCCATGGTTACTAAAAAAAGAATTTTCTATGAAATTCCTCTAAAATGCTACTCTTTCTACAGTTTTGGTCTGATTTCAATACAACTTGGCACACAATTAGACTACACTAAGATACAAAGAATAGTGCATCAGTTTTTGATTTTGAGGAACGGTGTTGCCATGGTTACTAAAAATAGAATTTTCTTTGAAATTCCTTTAAAATGCCACTCCTTCTACAGTTTTGGTCTGATTTTAATATAACTTGGCACACAAGTAGACTACACTAAGATACATAGAATAGTGCATTGGTTTTTAATTTCCATAAACGATGTTACCATGGTTACTAAAAATAGAATTATCTGTGAAATTCCTTTAAAACACTACTCCTTCCACAGTTTTGGTCTGATTTCAGTTTAACTTGGCACACAAGTAGACTACACTAAGATACATAGAATAGTCCTCCGGTTTTTAATTTCAATGAACGGTGTTGCTATGGTTACTAAAAATAGAATTTTCTGTGAAATTCCTTTAAAATGCTACTCCTTCTACAGTTTTGGTCTGATTTCAATATAACTTAGCACACAAGTAGACTACACTACTATACATAAAATAGTGAAATGGTTTTTGATAAGTACAAACCAGTAGAGCTACAGTCTGGACAGAGACTTCTGGTCTCAGTGTGTAATGTACTTCTAGGTTGTGATATCTGATTAGTTAATTAATGTTTACAGATTTGATTGGGATTTCCCACTCATCATTCCAGATAGTGATTTCTGATTAGTTAATCTTTAATTTTTAACAGATCTGACAGGAATTTCTTACTCATCACTGGAAGAATCTGATGCCGACTCTTTACCAGACATAGACAAGCAGCTTATGGTGGGGATGACCAGTGAAGATATAGAGACACTGAAACAGATGGCAAACTCTGCCATACACGACTCACTCCTCAAAAAGATACAAAAGATTGACCAGGTAAAATACACGACTCACTCGTCAAAAAGATACAAAGATTGACCCGGTAGTGAAAGGACAGATAATGATTCCAAATATAGGGAGAAGCCATGGGAAAAAAAATGTACAAAAATGAAAGAAAAAAATCAATTCATACCTCACCCACAGTCAACATTTTTAAAAAAAATGGTTCACCCCCCCCCTTCCAGCACAACCACCACTGTAGTTCACCCTAAATTTCACCCACAGCCAAGTGTTACAGCCAAACCTTTCCCCCGGCCCATCTTAAGATATAGTTCAAATACATGTACCCCCTTCCCAATCTCCACCTTAAAAGTGGTTCATCTATCCTTCCATGCTTCATATTTAACTCTCCCTGTAATTAAAAAGTGTTTCATACATCCTTTTCCTCCAGCCTGCTTTAAAATTTGGTTCAATGATGTATGAGATTAAATGATTAATGGAAATTTACTTATGGAATGGAACATTGGAATTAGCAGATTTTATTCCATAATAGAGTACAACTTGATCCAGATGAAATTATATAGCGCTGGATACTTTAAAATGAGAAATACAATGTACTTTTATTGAGCTGTGCTTAATTCATCATCTAACTTGGACCAACCTTTGGATTTAACCATTGTTTGTTTGTTTGTTTGTTTAGGAATACTGTAAGTCCAGGACCCACTACAGCTTTGTGGAGGCCCTCATAAGGAGAGTAAGAAGACTACTGAGGCTCAACACGGGGAGCTGATAAGTTATAAAACAGACACAGGGAGCTCTCTATAGTGAAATGATTGTTGTCTATAAAATTTGATATGACTCTTTAATGTTAGGTTCTACTGACAGTGGAAGTATTAAGCTGATATCCCATGAAACTTGATGTGTTAATTTCTGATGAAATCATTTTTGACCATGTATTAAAGGTGTATGTGAATTAAAATGAAAAATTATGAATCAGATTTCTCATCTTTGTTTTGGGTTACATGTACAGGCAAACCGTCTTATCTTGCACCCTATGAGTCCCAATGAATCCATGAAAAACGTGTAAATAAAGTGGTTAATTAATTTATCTTGGTCAATTAAGATTCTTAAAAATAAATTACATATAACTAGATTAAAAGAATGTACATTTTTTAAGATCAAAAGGCATATTATTCTTTCTAAAGTACTGAACAGTATAATCACCACTCTTCAGTGTGAAGTACATGACAAAGCGTCAACTTGAAAAAATGCACATGGTATTTTTTCTTCATGCTTGCAAATATATGTGGTTTTCATTTTGTAATATTGAGGTTCTCTTTCAGTTTAACGTTAAGAAGTCATTTATACCTCGGGTAGATTTCTGAAACGATTGATAATATATACATGTATTAATAATTTTTTTGTTTACACATTTATTTATATCTTATTGATAATATTATTGAAAATATTTTCAAACACACACATACATCAACAATAGAGGGTGTATTAAACCACATCTTATTTTTTGGGCTACTAAAAAAATTCTATCACAAACATGTCATCATTTAAAACACATTGTTAACATATATTTGGTTTTCTTCACTTTACCACTGTCCCACTCAGCCACAAAAAGGTTATCTCTGGTGTCTACACATAAACCCCATGGAGACTGTAGATTACAGTTATCAATGTAACGGAGGAACTGTCCATCCTGATCTAGGATGTGGATACAGAGGTTGTTACTGTCTGATGTAAGGATCTGACTCTGGCTGTCTGTTGTGATGCCGACTGGATCAAATGATCCCTTCATAGTAGAGGGATTAGTGTATCTAAATCGAAGTTTTCCTGCCTGATTAACCACCAATACAGCATGGGCTCCATAGTCAGCCACACAGATATCCAGGTTCCTGTTCTCACTGATGTATTTACTGAAGTAACCAGATGAATACAGAGGTTTACCTTCACTATCAAACTGAATGGTTTGTTTCTCTGTGGAGCCAGAGTAACGAACAACTTTTGATTGGTCATCATCATCAGTGTTCATGGTAACCAGGAGGTCACCAGATGAGGTACTACACACTGCTGGTAAAGTGCGAATCGAGAAAATTTTGGTTTCGGACTCCAGCTACTATTGGCATCTGTGAAATATCTAGTTAAATACATATTTTTTTTTATATAAAACAATAAAAATCACTTTTTAGAAAGCAAATTTATTAAAATGTTAAGCGATTGAATTGCTTTAATACCCCCAAAATGCTCATTATCGAAACATTACATGTAAGTTGCTGATTACAGCGTGTTTTTCATGTACTCGCATTCGAATGATGCATTAAGTGCCACAGGACTGATTGAACAGTTAAAAGGGCAAATTTAACTTTAATTCAACGTTATTTTATGCCGTGGACACAGACAATGTGTTTTACATTAATTATTTTCATGGAATTAGTCAATAACTAGCAAATTCATTTTGTAGGTGCTACAATTGATTTCTGTAAAATTTTGACACAGGCTACTTTTTATTTGTGTAAAGGCGATAACTGGTTTACGTCTCTGAGACTGTTGGTTTATGTTAATTAAAGTGAATATTATGAAATTATTCAAAATTGCATGAAAAGGATAATAGTTTTTGTAATTTATTGTCATTTCTGACCATTTCTTACAGCAATACGAAATGTTCCATAAATTCTTGTTAAGCGGATATTGTGTTTTTTGTTATATTCTTTTGTTACTTTTAAATGGAGTGATGTGTTTCTTGATATAAATGAACAAAGCCTATGCATTTTGCATCACCAAATAATGGAAATCTTTCTGTTTGACTTCAGTGTGCAGGTATACATAGGAAGTTCTTGTAATTTAAATCGAATTAGTCGTTCTTAATGATAAAGCGATTTCACAATGAAACCTTTTTAAAGCAGTAAACGAATGTTGTTGATATTGAACAAGATGATTACACACGATAATTTAAACTTTTCCGAATGTCTTGCAATTTATATTGTTCTATATTTGTTAAAAGCATGATGTTTGCATCCTAAGAATTGTGTTGCATGTAGTCTACATTTATCCAGTTATATCTCAGGCACGTAGTATATGCCAGAAGGGGTGTGCTTTATTTCTTGAAAATATTCTTTTGCTTTAGTTTTGATTCATGTTTTTAATTTTTTATGTAGAACCCCCCCCCCCCCCCCCCAATTTTTTGCAACCGTAAGGTAGCTGCATTTCTGTAACTCGCTGGTCTGAGAAAAAAATGAGATATGTGTTACCGAAGTGCTACAGTGCAACCCAAACAAAAATCTGTTAAAAAATTGCGCCGAAAAGCTGCGATTGGTACTTGATTAATTCCTCCAAATTTTTATCTCAACTGCACAAAGCTAAAAAAAATCATGACCTCTAGAAGCGTGCTGCAATTGAAACGATTTGTCTCTTGTCATCTGCAGAAAAAATGCGAAATTATTGGCTGGTATCAATTTCATGGAGGGTTATTAAAGAAAGTTATTTGTTGTGGAAATAGTAAGTGGAAATTGTAAAGAAATGTATTTAGAACACCAAGTAAGTAAATTTTTTTTTAGAATATAACAGTTTGAATCCGAGAAGCAGCACACTTTTATCCACAATAAATACTGGTATACATTTTTTCCAACTCTCCCGTCTTCAGTTCTGCAGCTAACCGTAAGGTTTGCATACCAAGCCGTTGTCATCTTCGCTAGCCAAGGGTTTCTAATACCTTTGAAACTTTCGTCAGTTTATGCAGAAAATTTCGAGCATATGTGAAACCCTTCCGATAGCAAAGATGGCCGTTGAGGAAAATTGGAATAGTTAGAGAAAGGTCTCCAACACACGATAAAATAGGACTGCTCTTCCTAGCTTCAGAACGGCAGCGTTATGCTTTTATATTCAAGTCTTTATAGTCAAAGATGAAAACATGAAACCATGTGTTAACAATACAGTTTTGGAGCGGTGTTCTTCCGAGATTTAACATTTTTTGGGTTGTCAATCACCTGCGACCCTCATCCTTCCTACGTATACATTGAAAAATATTGCCACGGGTCTGTATTTTTAATAAATAAACCGGTGTCTTTATGTCATTCAAATATGAGAATACTTTGTTGAGATATTAAAATATTCCATAGAAGTTAATTATCTGAAATACTTAATGCCATCTTTCCAAGACAAAGGTTAAAACTATTCATGGAGGGGATGTAAAAGAAAAACACTCTTACATGCATCAACGTCTAATCCCTTCTAATACATAACCAGTGTGAATTTTGCATTTTTAAATCCTTTATTTTTTTCACATAATAGAACAATTTATATTGGGGGGGGGTATGTTTGCAATATATTGTAAATATATGATAGAAGCAACCAATCTTCGAATTGGAGGTATATATATATTTTTGGAATTTATTCAAGAAATTTGCACTATCTGATGGGTCAATATTAAATTTAAACGTATTTCTCTGGTAACAATAAATTTTTGATACAGAAGTAAAACGTCGCACCTCATGAAACAGAACAGAAGCCAAACGTAGCAATTACACGTGTCAGGAGTAGCACATACAGCAACCATACTCGCAATGTTATCAGAAAACTCTATATTGCATCAAAAGGTTTAAACTTGTGAAACATAAAAGAAACAGGAAATCATAAATGATTGATATAGTATATACTCATATCACTTTTAGCACAAATAATGTAGCGTTAATCGAGTTTACCACTTCCAAAGCAAATATAAATAATCTAGTAAAATACTTGTAACAAGTGTGATCTAAAGCATTTACGGGATTGCTCCTTATTTGTATTCAACCAACAAGGAATTCCACTGCACGAAACCATACTGGACATTAATAATTACGTCATTATCAAATGTTCTATCATTTCTGATAGTTAAGTTGACATAGACTGCCTCATTGATGTAAACCAATAGTAGCTGGTGTCCGAAACCAAGATTTTCTCGATTCGCACTTTACCAGCAGTGCTACAGATATAGAGAGGTATCCAATACCCAGTGTTCATGGTTATGAGCTCTGGTTCATCAAGCAGTGGTTTGACTGGAGGACAGGATACAGCTTCTGGTGTCTTCATTGTGTAGCCATGTTCTTCTGTTGTGATGGATAATGTTGACAGAGAACCAAACATCTGATGGAGCTGTTCTGTATTGATCTGATGAGGAAAGAAACTTGGTAATGAAACATTGATTTTCGGAGGTAAACTTCTGAATTCAGCATTCTGTGGGGGACAATTATGTATTAACCTTTCTCTTTATTGCCGATTGGTTCATGAACGTAGTATCGAGGGGGGGGGGGCAGGGGGGGCCTGCCCCCCAACTTTTTTCCCCAACATATAGTAAATAGTAAATGTACATTGATAGGATGGTTGCCCCCCCCCCCCACCTTATAACCACAGCATAGTGATAGGAAGGATTGTAAGGTAAAAATTGGAAGTGATAGTAAACTGGCTATGAAAATATGACCCCCCCTCCCCCACGAAATAGGATTTTCGAGTTTGGGCAACTTTTACTTTCCGGTTTTTTTTTTTTTTTTTGCTTGTCAACTTTTCAAAAGAGTAAACAAAAAATTTTCTCAGGTTGCCCCCCGGCCCCCATTTCAAAAATGATGCTACGTGCATGCCTGTGCAGCTTCATGGAATTTAATCTCGTGACCAACCCGTATTTATA